GTTTGCTATATGTGAAAGTTAACCTAAAATAATTAAATTAATTAGTTAATAATTTCTTAATTTTCGTATAAAATAGAAAGTATCCGGTGTTATATATAAATCATTTTTTAATTTTTCAATTTTGATTTTTTTAAATCTGATATTAGATAAAAAAACCGAACAAAGTAACGTAATTTATTAATTCAAAATCAATCAAAAAATTTAAAAATTAATTCAAATAAAATTTTTATTTAATTTAATTCAATTATTAAATTTAATCCAAATAATGCATATCCCTATTTATAAATTCTCGTTGGCTGGCTGGCACACATCATAATAATGGACAAAAATAAGAAAATGATAATACACACGTGACTTTCACTATGGCGTGTGTTTTTAAATAAAATAGATGTATCACAGCCTCCCAGCTAGATTCCCAGCTAAATTAAAGTACTATTAAATATAAATTAAATAAAATTATATTATTTTATGTTTGACTATATTATTATTGTATTTTAATATTTATACGAAAATGGTGAAGTTACAGAGAGGATGAAATAACAAATTTCATAAAATGTCCTTCAATTTTATCTTATACAATCACAAACTAAAAAATAACATATCTCGTATCTTACTAATTGAATAAAAAAAAAGTTTTATCTCGTATATATATAAAAATAATTAGATATACTTCATTATTATAATCATATATTATTATTATAATCGTCAATATTTTTTAAATATTACACATCTTAGCATTAATTAAAAGTTTCTCACATATATCTTATATTTTAAATACATAAATTTTTGCTATTAATTTATAAAAATACTAATTAAAATATATATACTAATATATGCATATGTAATATCACAAATAAGAATATAGCACGGTAATTAAATTTTGAAGTAAGTGGAATTTTTAGGTGAGATTGCAGTATAGTACGTCAAAGTCTTCAACAACCACCAAGCAAGGGGAAAACAAAGCCCGGAATCCAAAATGGGGTGCGTAATTTCAATTAAAATTGAAGGGCAATTCGGTATCTGAATTTCTATATTAATATTGACCCTGTACTTCCGCCTCCACACGCAAAAAGGGTGTTGGGTGCACAATCGGAGACAGAAACAGAATCCAAAGAACTCTCTCTCGTGAGTGTTTGTAAAAGTTCATAGAGATGCTCAATTTCATTTGATTTGATGCAGTATCTATCTATGTAGTTCGATTTGTTTTGTGTTTTAAACTGATTTTTGCCGGTGTTGCAGTAGCAGGAAAAAATGGCGTCGGATCGGAAAATTCATGCATTTGAGGAGGTCGCTAAGCACAACAAGACCAAAGATTGCTGGCTCATCATCAGCGGAAAGGTTAAATCTCGTCCTGTTTTTTTTTTATTTGTTCTTTCGATTGATTTGATTTTAGTTTTTTCAGGATCTGTGTGCTGTACCGGTTATGGAATTGTTATTTTCCGGGTATTTTGAATCGGTTTGTTTTATAAGTTTTCTCGATAGATGTATCTGAGTGGTTGAAGTTGCTATCACGTTGGAATTATCGAATTTCGATTTGGTCTAGTTAGTTAATTTTACAATTCCAGTTGAATTTTTGTTTGCAATTTTGAGTAGTTAACGTACTCCGTTTTGGACTTTCTTTGTACCTGGTGGTGTTTAGTTGAAGTGACCAATGGAATATGTGGGATCAGTAACTTTCCTTAGACTCAACTGGAAAATACAAATAATTGATTTTGCTCAATAATAGAAAGTTCAAATCCTAGAACCACCCCATCTTGGAACAGGATTAGGAGTTTGACTTATAAGAAAAGACTTGCTCATGGAACTAAAAAGAGTTTGGGTAGACTTTTAGCCACCCGCGGCGGCTATGCACATGTGTACCAAAGTGACGTATATGTTTTTGTAATGGATTGTACATTACAAAAAGGAGTCATGGACTCCATTTTTCTCCCTAATAAAATGGAGTTAGGTTGTCTATGTATAGTAACTGTCCTTATCTGTGTGTTGATGAAGGTCATGTTGGTAAATATGAATGATAGTTTGGTATCTATTATTGAAATACACTTGGAGATTTCAGTTTTTCATCCTGGAGAACAGGGGTAGTTGGTATTTTAGAAATTTGATGCAGAGAGGTTAGCACTGTGGATATGGGAGTGGAAAGTAAGAAATTAAATTAAATTTATTTAGTTGAGAAAACAGACAGCTGAAATAACCCCCTTCCCCTTTTCCTCAGATCCAAGCCGAACAGTCAATTGGTTTTCCAATTACTTTTGCTACCTTGAAAATAGGGAGTAATATTTTAAGTTTTGAGAGTCAGCTCTTTATCACTGAAATTTTGTGGCGCAGATATGAAAACAAGCACGTGACACTGAACTTGCATATCTGAAGTTCAGTATTTGCAAATAATGGTTTTGTCATCATTATCTGCTAATATTGGACTTTAGCATTTCAAATGCTGATGATATAGTTCAAGAGAGTGGGAGTAAATCAAGTAGAGTAATGGTTTTTGCTCACGCAACTTCCAACTTTAAAGTGATTTCTGTCCAAACTTACTTTCAACTTTCAAATATACTCTTTCAATCAATCGAACATTTTCCGAACTCCTACTAACATGAGCCCATGAAGAAGGGTATTTGTTGAAAAATTGAAAACAAACTGCAGATCAAATTGCTTCTCAAAAATCCTGAGACTTAACCTAAAGTAGATCTTCAATCTAAAAGTATATAAAATATACCTCTACAGCTCAGGGACCTGGTTTCTGTTAGAGATGGTTATTTTGAACCTTCTGGTGTGAGTGAGTCATCCATTTTGATCAACAGATTTTTGCATCTTATCTTGTCAAGTTGATTATTCTTCATGAAGTGTTCAATGATTTGTATATTAAGGATAGCAAAGTCAAATATATCTAATGCTATGGCTTGAAGGAGATGTCTAGAGATGGGAAACATGTTTTGGTTATTCATCTCGTTTGTTTTCATGTCTTTTCAAGTCCTGTGTCCTGACATGTGTATTTTGTTGAAATATGCTTGTGGAGAAAAACGTTAAATAAATCTGAAAGGTGATATGGCGTTGCAAAAAGGACGTGTTACTCACGTGATGGTTTTAGTTGCTCAATTGGGGGAACTGCCTTGATAATTCCACAAAAGACTATTTGCGTTGGAGGCTTATGTGCACATTGTCTTTTTTATCTTTGCTATGCAGTAATATCTTTCATTATTATGATTACCAGTGTTCAAGTCAGTGTAGACCAACTTATATCTCATGTTGGATTATTTTCTTTAAGGTCTTAAAGAGTTTTTTTGTTTTTCCTTCCCTATAATGAAATATGAATTTATGTCTGCATATCAAAATGCTTTCAGGTGTATGATGTCACTCCGTTCATGGATGATCATCCAGGTGGTGATGAAGTTTTGCTTTCAGCAACTGGTAATACTTGGTTTTCTTCACTTACTGTTTGTTCTTAGGGTATTAAGTGTTGATGATTTTTTTTGTGACATGAATTCTGATCTTTGTCCTTTTACCAAAAGGGAAGGATGCAACAAATGACTTTGAAGATGTTGGCCACAGTGATTCTGCTAGAGAGATGATGGATAAGTATTACATTGGGGAAATCGACATGTCAACTGTTCCCCTAAAACGTGCTTATATTCCATCAGAACAAACAGCATACAATCCAGACAAGACTCCAGAATTCATTATCAAAATCCTACAGTTCCTTGTACCCATCTTGATCCTGGGCTTGGCCTTTACGGTACGACACTACACCAAGGAGCAGTAATTCTTCTGAATTCCAGTCTGTCAGGCCCTCTTTTCTTGATTTATGTAGTTGTTGAAAGAAGACTTGGTTTATCTTGTTTTAGTTCATTATCGAGCTGCAACAACTGAATGTGGTCGTCAATTTTGTACTGTGCTTCACAATTGCTATGTGCGAGCGCACTAGACTTGACTTTGGTTCGTGTTTATTAGATATTTGAGAATATTTATCCTTCATGTTTACATTTCTTTTGTTTCTTCTGGTTAATTTTGTTGCAACCAGCCTTGCTAAATTTCAGGGCAGCTATTATATTAGTCTATTAGAACTTTTTTATTGCTCGTGCCCGCCGCTTGAGACGACTAGTCTTGCGCTTTTACCTACACTGGAAATAGAATTCAGCTGCTTTCGTTTCTCAGGACATTTTATCAGTACTAGCTTGTTGGCTTGTCCCCATTATTCATACACACACATTAATGGGAAAGAATAGAGTTCGGCTACCTCAAGCATTACCATATTATTACTGATATCGATTTATTTCAATCACGCGGTGAAATAACAGAATATTACTGTTTTAGGCATAATTTATATAAAAGAAAAAGGAAAATTTCTGAAATCTTATGGTCTCACCTTTTCTTTTTGTAGGTATAATTTATTTCCATCTGGATTGGATGTTATTTTATCAGATTAAAAAAAATAAAAACCTATTTATGCGTCCTGCTTAGTAGACTTCTGGTCTGTGGTATCAGTATTACTAGGATAGATAATGCGTAGTAGTAACTGGTAGTCCAATTTCCACTGTCGTCTATCCGAGTAACGGAGGTTTTAGGCCCGATTGTTTTCTCTTAACCCTTCCAACACACCTCATTTTCACTTCTACTCTGCAGCCCCCTTCACCACATCTCATAGTATTTGTCTTTTAACTTATTCACAAATGTTTTTAGAATGATAGTTTTTGCTTATGTACCAAAACTCCTAAAAAACATATATTCCAAGTAAACCTTTTCTTCGTACTAAGCTCACCCTGTTCACTTTAAGGACAAGACAAGTGCTATGATTAGAGAAGTTACTACTACCAAACATGCCTCTACTCCTTTTTTTTTGGATCAATCAACGTTACTGTGCCCCAACTTGTTCTCTGATCATTAGTCACTACTAACGTGCCACAGGACTGGCATGAACTAGTTTATGACAGAGCGCTATCTTTCTGGAAATTGTAAGATAACAATTTTGTGAAATTTGCAATATCTCGCAGATGCAGAAACAGCGCTTCAATAGCTCAGAAGAGCATAAATATTATGCAGCTACATTCGAGCTTGACGTGTCATTTAAGGTAGGAATGCTTATGATATAGCTATTGCTTTGATGATAAAGTTACAAACCAACCACAGAGCGTGGAAAGGTATGCTATTCTAGCATCCATTTGCCTTGGGGAGGTTGGGGCAACAGGAGATAAATACTCCAAATAAAAAGCCACCTTAGGAGAACATTAACAAGAGAACTAAGTTAAACAAATTCAATATCAAGCATGGTACACCAATCAGGATTCCAGCGAATTGCTACACTGAATTCAAGCAATTTGCTAGTCTGTATGTAGGAGATAGTCACATGAAGTTATTCCCCAACTTGCAGATTCTTATCCGACATTTGCATGTTCTTTAGCAAAAGAAAAGCAGCGGCATTACTTGACCATAAGCTGTCTTCAGTTCTTCCTGTGTACCGGAGATGCATGCAGTGTTTGGTAGCATCATCCCACAAAATAAAGTTCGAGCAGCAAAGAGAATAAATTAGTGTAAGATCTCCATAACAAAGATGTCTACATCTTGTCATGGAGAGTCACCACCAAGTCATGGGCATCATCTAGAAGCTTCCATACATCCAGTTGACCAGCCATGCTCTGGCACTCCCTTAAAATTTCATCCATGCTACTATACTTCTCTATGATCTGTTTCCTCCGTTGCAATACAGATGCTGCAATTGCATAAAGCAAGAGATCATCTGTTGGTGGGGCACGCAGCCTAATCCTACTCCAGGCAGACTTGCCAATCCCAGCCCTAATAGCAGCCTGGTCTGCCCACATTACTTCCCATAGGCAGAGCGTTTGCTCAAAAGATAATTCCCGCCTGAAAAGAACTACCACCATTCTGTACACAAAAAAGCAATCCTCTGCTTGGAGCTTCTCCAAGTGTCGATAGAGATGTGAATCCTTTTGTTTGATGATCTTAGAAATAATGTTCAGCTGCCTCCTGATTCCAACCTCATCAAGCCTGAAGTTATGCCTAGCCTTCGTCATGAAACCAACAAAGCACCAAAAAGCTTCATGGTCCTCTGTCATTACAGAAATTATGGGTGACAGCAAATCGCTCATCCCCTGGCAATAACCAATTTCAGGGTCATATAGCGCATAGGCTTCAAGAATGGAGACTAGCCGAGCAGCATGTAGGATCCTAGGGGGCTCTAGGTGTTCATAGTCCTTCAACCCAACAGCCTCTGCAAAACGGTGTGCCCTGCTTTCTGATACAACAGCTTGAGATGGGGAGTATGCTATCCATTCAGCGTTAGCACGAACTGCATCAAGCCGAATTATTCGTTGCCATGTAGCAAAATCTTCTGCATTGCAGGGCCGTGACTGAACTTCTGCCTTTGAAGGAGAAGAGTCCTCCTTAGAGTTCACTTCAGCAGTATTCTCATCCATGCTTTCTGCCGAGGGGACAGTTTGACTGATATCAGGATCTGCAGAGGAATCTGAGTCTGATGACTCGGAATCAGAGACATCATTTGGCTCTGTAACTCGTTTGGAACTGGAAAATTCATCTGACATTGTACCACCGGGATTATCAGAATCCTCGACATATGTGCTCCGGTCCTCACTGGAGAGAGATTCCCGGGCAGTAACAACATCGTCATAATCAGGGGAATCCATCCCTTCAGTGATATTTCCTTCACCATCGCTTCCCATTCCACCAGTTTCCCTCATTTTAGAGGTCCCATTGCGTTTCAGCAGTCTGCGACATTCTCTACGATAGCTCTCATATTCCCTCCTGCAATCACAGATCAACTACAGTGGTAAGAAGTATGAATCATGCAATCAAAAAGGTAAATGGAACAATATTAACACAAGGATAAATATGACCCTGTCAACTGAATACATACGAACCCTCTACATTTTTACAAGATAAAAATAAAGAGACTTTCTTTCATCTTAATACTTCTTTGGGGCTGGGGAGAGCCAATTATCTGGTTATAATACCTCTTCTGATTTCTTATACAATCTCTTTCTTCTTTAGAGCTGTTCAACTCATAGCTGCAGAGAGAAATAAAGTAGGTCAATTTAACTGTAACCAAAGCATTCACTGTACAGAAATAACGGAAAACAGAAATTGCAGAACATTTTTTGACAAATGTCACAATGTTTTTATTGTCACAGACTTGACACATATGATAAACCAAACTATCTACAAAAGTAATTGGTTTTTATCTGGACAACCTCGTATAAATCATTGTACAGTAGCAGCTGACATTTGGAGTGTGTTTTGTCAGTTTTTGGAATTGACTGGGTCATACCAAACAATATCAAGGAAGCTTATGAGAGGTGGTGACGTTTTCATGAAGAATCGGGATATCCATCAAAAAGTCTTGGGCAATGGTGCCTGGTTCTATTTTTTGGTGATGTGTTGATTGGATTTCAATTCCTAATCACACTCTTAAAGCAAAATGTTTATAGAACTTATTTAGTTGGTTCAATGAGTCGCCTGTAACTAGTACTGAACTTTTTCTGGACTTCGCCTGCTCCTTGGTTGTTCTGTATGTTTTTGTACAGGTGCAGACATACTTTTTTTTTTGCAACTTTTGCTATGCATCTTCTTGACGCTCTTTAATGAAATACCATGCTACATAAAAATAAAAAATAAAACAAACTTGCAACAAAGTAATTACACTGATGCAGAAGCCTGGAAACTGCTCTCAAGGCTGCATTTGAGTGAGGGATGCATTAATTAAAGAATAAATGACAAACCATACAAATTTATTTCCAATTAACGTATCTCGTCTTATTTAGACTCTAGAAACAACTATTAAGGTAAATGTTGCAATATTATGTATATTTTAATAAAGAAAGTATAAACAGTAGAGAGATTTTTTCAACAATTTGGACTTTATCTTTGTTGGTTTACTATCTGGTGTCCGTAACACATTCACGCCGTAAAAAGCTCACGCCGTAAAAAGCTCATTGTATGGGATTTTAGCAATCCCTACCAAAGTGGATTCCATTTCCCATTTTGGAGCCCTGGTTATGGTAAAAGTGGGTCGAATTTTTAGCAGTAGAGATAAAGCTGACTTTCAAATATCTTCTTAATATTAGAAGATAGAGTAAGTGTTGAAAAGTGCAAGGAAAAAAGTAACCCTTCTAGGGACATAGACAGGTGAGGGTCCAGCCAAAATATGAAATTCTTCACCAAGATGTTCCAATTTTTTATTTTTTTTTTGCAGTTTATACATTAATTTTCACTAATAAGCACCTTTTGGCAAGAGCTTACATTTGGGCCTAAAATTTATGTGCCTTTTAAAACACCACCTCAATCTTTCGAAGCAAACTATTAAGTTCATGTTTACATGGTTAACTAAATACTAAACATAATTTGAAATATAACTGCAGCAAACAAACACGTGATGATGTTCTGATATATTATTTTCCAAATTATACAAAATTTTAAGGTAATACTTTTCCTGTAAAAACTATACCTCTTAACACTTGTCTAAACACTACTGCACTCACCATGACTTCCATGTAAATTTGACTTATTTCTTTTTTTTTTACCTGCTTTGAAATATTTTTCATTGAGCCGAGGGTCAATCGGAAACAGTCTCTCTATATATACCAAGTAAGGGTAAGGTCTATGTATACTCTATACCCTCCCCAGACCCCACTTGTGATTACACTGGGTATGTTGTTGTTGTAAACACTAGTACACTCCCAATGGGAACTTTTAAAAAAAAAAAAACTAAAAACAATGCCCATCTGTCACTTCAAAAGGTGTGTACATCTACATGGTAAGGGTTAAAGAATCCAGGACCTAGATTGTCACCAAATGAAGTACTCTAAGCACTCCACGAACAGGGATTAACTTCCACACAATCTTCTACAGAAAAAAATCCCCACATATTTGAGACAGAGCTAGTGACCCTAACATGTATAACTAGCGGGGTCCAGCAATAGGATCTGTTTAAAGAGTGACAAAGCATGAGATTACTGGTCTCAAATCTGAATGAAGAACCATGGGAGGTGATTATTATATAAAATTAAGGGAAAGAGTATGGAGATGATTTTTGTCAGTTACTAAAGTAAATGTCCAGATGATAAATTATTATTCATAATATAATATAATTCCCCTGCCATATCCTGTGGAAATTAAGCAGCTAGAATTGGCTGATCAAAGTACAAGAGGACAATAAAAAGAATAGAAGAAAAAAAGAAAACAAGCAAAACTCAGATTATCAATCTTAACAAGATTAAAGTTTCAAAAGAAAATTTAGAACAAGACACATTATTACATAAGAAGGAAATACTTACACTCCCAGGAGAAATGGCCAAACCTCGGCCCTGATACTAGGATCAACACCCTACATGAAAGGGCCAATAGATTAGTCAACATAATTGCTCTTGTTTGGAAAGCAAGTAAGAAAAACTATGATGTTAAAACTTTCCATTTCCTTCTTTAGTTGTAAAAAGCGAAGAGTTGAATGGTTTTCACTAGGGCACAAAAAAAGAGATTTATTCCTCTTGGAAGAGAAAGATCTGAAAATTTAGAAGCTAGTTGCGTAACTCACAACTTCCCTCTACTCTTTTTTGGATACCAAGACAGAATGATTTTTCACCATCTATCTCTTAACCCCACAAGGTAAATAAACTATTTTTTCTTTTCCCTTTGAGAAATGTATCAATTGAAAATTAATGAGAGTTGGCAAATTTGTGATTTCTCTTCATGTTCTTATGTCCAAAAAGAGGAATGGGTTTTCTCGACTCAATCTTATGTATTCCCTTGACCAAGCAAGGGAAATGAGATCATTTCATCTTTCATGTTCCTCTTTTGAACCCCTACCTTTCATTCCTATCTTCCCAAACAAACTTTTGAGGTTTATTTGGCCTGATGATCTTGGTGTACATTGAAATAAGGAAACAAATCTAAAAAATTAAGGTGGGCCAGAAACTCACTCCACTTCGGACTTTCTTTAGAAATTTAATTCCACCATCACGAAGTTTTCCTTCTGGTGTGAAAAAGCTTCTCCACTGTTGGGGCGCAAGAGCACGTTTTCTTTTTCTACGAGACCATGGTGATTTGAGATGACCTCTGAAATAAATCATAAACATGAGTAAGCATCTTGACAAACAAGAAGGGTAACTAACAGTATATTCTTTTTTTGTGTTAAGTGCCAAGGTAACAAAATCAGCAACTCAAATTAGATTCATCAGACAAGACCGATATTTAGCATGATTAGCAATTTCATCACTTCAAAACCAACTCACTCAAGAAAACGAGAGCTTTGCAAAGGTTAACCATCAATACAAGAAGAGAATAGAAGAAGTAGGGTAACAGGTAACTGCAACTGAGAATGAAAAAAAGAAAATAAACAACTGGCAAGACCACAAGTTCACAACCACAAATTAATGTGTTGAAGGTAATGAACTTCAAACAACTAGAAAGAAGGAAGTAGTTGCAAGATACATAGAGTTCAACAAGAAATTAGTACATCACTTAACTGCAGAATATAAGAAGTTAAGAACATAATCTATCCATCAGTCTATCTCTAAAAGATGTGATCTACCAGCAGTATAGGCAGACCTATTCATAATTCACTGTTCAATCAGAATATCCCAAAACAAAGGACTCCTAATTACCTCCAATAACACCTCATTAAGAAACCTGCGGAATCTAAGGGTGAGACTGCACCATGAAGAGTCGTACTATGTTGCTACTTCAATCTCAATCTCTTATAGGACTGTGGCGACTTCATGCTAAATCATCACATTATGCTAAACATTTACCAACACAACTTATTTAAGAAAAATTTCATCATTGGAAACATTAAATGTAAGCACAATATACGGAAAAGACCACTTAGTAACACTGCTAAATATCCCATCCAACTGTTAACAAGACAACCCATCCAAAAACCAAAATACAGAGACAGTAACTTAAGAGTGAGACCCTGGCATAGAAACTTAAAAACTGACATCAACACCTAGATACTACCTACACCGGAAATTCCCTTTCAACTAGTGAAACCTCACCCCAATCCAAGCCCCAAAAGCTTCCAGATAAAAATATATAACATCCCTGTGCTGGGAAAGTTGGAGAAGAGTTACATATCATATCAATTTGCCATTTCTTTTGTACACTTAATTCATCATCAAGAAGACAAAGTTGGAAAACTTGGTGAAACTTAAAACACAAGGTCAACCTATTTGTGTCACTGTGACAAAGTAGAGGAGGAGAAATCAGCAAGAGGTTGAAAGTTTCGTAGCTTTCAGAAGTTCTGATCAAGTAAGCATACAAATATAGAAATATAGTCCACACACATTCAATAAAAAAATGTTATCACCTAATGAAAGTCTCCACCCTTATCTAATATAAATCGAAGACATTACCCTGACTTGTTCAAAGCTTAGCTGAAGGAACAAATCCACCAGGTTATTGATAACAAGAAATTCAAACAAACTACAACACTTCTATTTTTTTAAAAAAAATCCTACACAACTGTCATAAAAAATCAAATTTATACTCAATAACAGCAGCAAAACGAATAATTTAACAAAACATATTAGAGACTGAGATTGAGCAATGGGTTGAAGGAATGAACTTTATCAGTGGAGCATATCCTAGACAGAAAAAGAGGACCTTAGATCGGATCTGAAAAGAATAAGTATGCTTATAAAAAAAGAGGCAGACGAATCTTATAGAAAGTGAGAAGCAGATCGAAACATTTTTAGAAGAGTGAAAGACAGGAGAGACTCACCGATTAGAGGAAGAAGAAGAAGCTGGTGAGGAGGCAACAATGAATAGAACTGATCTCAAATGAATCCACGACGATGTCGATGATGATGGTGATGATGAAGACGGTGAAGAGGAATTTGAAGATGACGAAGTCTGACTTCGTCTGAGAGCTCTCATCTACTTCTACACTGACTGTTTTAACTGTGGATAAAATAAAAAAAAAAAAGATCTACTCTACAGATGATTTCTAGGGTTTCAATGATTCCAGTTTCCTTTTTTCAATGATTACTTTTCGTAAATTTCAGCCGGAGGTTCTTTTTTTTAGTTTTACCTAGTAGTGTAGAAAACGGCGGCGGCCAAGGCGAGACCGGCCAAGGCCGTGACAGCAAAAGCTATACCGGCATTCGAAGGTTGACGGTCCATCCAGAAAGCACCACCGTTTCCTCCGTTAACGCCGACGAATACTCCACCGAGCTTACTGATTCTGGTGCCGATGGATTCAACCACATTAGAAGCGACGACGGAGGTGAAGAAGAGATTGAGCATGGAGATGGAGATAGAGATGGAGAGAGAAAGGAATCTATTATGACGATTCTGCCCCTATGCTTCACCTTGCCGATTAGATTTTCCACCATAACCAACCCAACCTTCCCTTCTCAACTGCTTTTCTCTTCTTTCTTTTTTTTCTTTTACTTTGGTTTGGCTCTTCTTCTCATGAGTTTTTGTCTCTAATAATCAGTGTGTGTGTTTTCTCTCTTTCTTTCTTTCTTCTCAGTGGGTTTTGTTGTGTGTCTATTTCTCTTTTTTATTTTAGCAGGGAGAAAATAATGCACGCTTTTGCTTCTTTTTTTTTTTTTAATCGTAGGCCGTTATTACAATGATCCAAATAAAGAGTTTGATATTTGACTTACTACATGATTAACTTCTTACCCTTGTAAACATATTTTATTTAAATTAGTATAGTGTACTTGTTTTTTTAAAATTATATTATATTTAATTAAATATATAAATAACTTATTTAAGATATTATAAACAATAAATTAAATATATTCTAAAATACTTTTATTTTATAAATTTATGAATCTAAATTTGAATCTTGTGAATTTTTAGTTTGATATACTATATTTTTTATTTATTAGATTGCAATGAAAATCGTGATAATTTGTTGTGGTGATGGAGGCTCATTCCTCTGATCAGATACAAACATAAAATAATTGATTTCAATCCTAATAAACTGGGATTTATTACATTAATTTTTACAGATTATATTTCTTCATTTAAGTTCAAGATTTATGCCATTAAATTAATCAAGACATGTGTTTGTAGCATAAGTGGTAATGTGGTATCTTAAAAATGCATGTGGCCTTGCATATGTGATTATGGAGATCTAAACACTTTAATTATTTCTTGTCCCAAAATAATGTTTGATCTGTATTATTTCAGGTAATGTACATTAATTTTTATAATGATTAGTCATTTTTTTTATGATAAGTAGAAAGTATTTATATTTGCATTGTTATTTTAGAAGTAAGCTAGAAAATAGACTATAAATTATTTTGAAGATTGAAAAGTAATGTCGAATTGAATTTTGAATTTTTATGATTAAACGCTAATTTCAATTGAAATAGAATATTTTCTAAAAAGTGCAAATAATAATTTTTATAGTTAATTATATAATTTAAAAAGGAAATAAATAAATAACTGCACGACGACACAAATACCTTTTTTGTCTTTTTCATGTCTAACACAAAAAGAATTACGCAATTATTATTTCTCACTACCTGCTATTGATAATCCTCTTTCTTAGATAGTAAAACTTTAACTACTTATTGTTTAAATGATTAAATTTCAAAACCTAAAATTGTATATCAATTAATATAAAATTTGTGATAAAATAATTATTAATTTAAGAGACGTATAAAACTGAAGTTAACAAATAAAATAAATAAAGCAAATAAAATTATAGAAAATATAAATAAAACATAAAGTAATTGAGTAATTTCCCTACATAGTCATCCATGTTTGGGAAATTATCTAGGAATATTACTTGTGTTTGTTTTAGGACTATATTATCACTTAACTTTGTTTATTTTCCTCAAAATATACTTGACACAAAAAATACATTATTTTTCTCCTACTAGGGTGTCATGTCACATTTTTTAATTTATTATTAATACTTTTCTAATTCTTTTAAAGAACCGAAGGAACTCATATTTTCTTGAAGTACCGGAGGAGCTCATATTACAGTTCTTAATGTAATTTTTTTACTGGTATAATATGTGGGTTTGTCTATTTTTTAAAAAAAATCTATCTATATATAATAGAAGTAAAAAGTTTCACATATCAACACCACAAATATTCAAGAATTTTAATTTTTCAAAAATTATTTTAAATATGCTCTAAAAAAATAATTAAAAACAGGAATTTTAATATAGCTATTTTAAATAGAAAATAAAAGTTCTTTTGTTTAAAAAAACTGTTACGGCAAAAAATGAATGATTTTTAAATACCTCCAATTTCAATTTTAAAGGGAAAAATGACATCGAACTATTTTAAAAAAAAAAAACAGTAATGGCTAGTATGGGAAAAAATTGAAAGACTTAAATGCTTCAAATTCCAATTTTTAAGGTTAAAAAACTGAAAATTGAATTATTTTATAAATAAAAACTGTAATGTCTATTTATATTTATCACACTTTCCGTGATTTTAGGAAATGCTTCAACAAAATGGAATGTAAAAATATCTATCTAAATAGGAGAAGAAAAAGTGCACTATAAAAAAACTTTAGTTATTATTTTGAAAATTAATTAAAAAACTTATAGTAAAAAATAATAATTATCATTATAAAACTAAAAAACTTATTTTAAAAAAATAGTTAAACGGTCCATTAGTAGTTAGTGGTAGAAATGATACTTTTTTTTCATTCATTTTAAAATTTATCTTTATATATCTAAAAAACAAAACATTTTCAAAAAACATAAATAAAAAACAATATTAAAAAAAAAACATATTGCAACCTAATGTTTAAATATGTGTAAAGCATATTTTTTTAATTAAAAAAAATAAATAATGTGACATGATATCCTAATAGATATTTTTTATGTCAAATATAATTTAAGAAAAATAGATAAAATTAAATGATATTATATTTCTAAAACAAACATAAGTGACATTCTTAAGTAATTTTCTAAACATTATCTAGGAAAATTTTTCAAAGTAATTTTATGAATCTCATATAATAAAAAAACAAATAGACAGAAACACAAACAAACTTAAATCACGTTTTTGCCTATCAGGATTAACAGTGGCGGAGTCAAGATTTTCATCTTTATAAACTAAATCAAACCAAATTAATAAAACTCAATTTCTTTTGAGTTTCTCAACCTCGGGTTGATTCGAATTTTTCAAATACTAAACCAAACCATCGTGTCGAATTTTTAAATTTATAAATCAAACCAAACTAATAAATTTTGATTTTTCTAAATTTTTAAACTAATATAATTTTTTTAATAATATTGAATAATTAAATTTCGATTTCTGACGTAAATGATACAACTCAAATAAAATGCATTTCCTCCTAACCTTGTAGGTGCATGGATCATCTAGTCAATCAGACCAAACTTCTATGTAAGGGGTGATTTCATGTGGTAGTTTCTCTTTTTTTTAATTATTTGGTGTTGGAATCTAAAATAGAGGTCACTTGATCTCTATTCACATTGTATAGAGTGTTATTTCTACTAGTTTTTTGTTTAGGAGTGTTATTTCTACTGATTTTTTTTTTGTTTAGAACTTGAATTTGATTTTCTGATTAAAAGAAAAATAATTTCATTCATTGCACCATATCTTTTAATAGTAATTTTAGTAATTGTCAGTCCTTGGTCTTTACGATTTACGCCCTTACTCAACATATACTTAATGATCTTATTTAGTATACTCCCTCCATTTTCACTTCATGTTTGGCCTTACATATTATTATTAAATTTATTTATTTTATTTTTCAAAGTGAAAAGTTATTTTGTATTACCAGTTAATTGTAATATATGTGTAAAATTATTTTAATTTCGATTAATCAAATCTCAATATATAAGGGAAATAAATAGTTGTAGTAACAAAAAGACCGTGTTATTATATGAGAATGAGATTTGGTACAAAATAGTTCATTATAATATAAATGAATGTTCACCATGATTTGCTTTTCATTTTTTAACCAGACAAGCGAGCTTTATTGCGCCACATTCGGCCTTGGGTTGAAAAGGTTTTGTCACTCACAACCAATTGCAACCTTTCTACACACGCAAGCAAAAACACGTAAACGTGTTAACTACGTTGTGGTGTGATGATTGAGATTTCTCTATTTTTAGTTAAAAAAATTGGAATTAAGCTCTGAAATTAGAAAAAGAATCAAGTTAGAAGCTTCCGAAATTAGACTCTACAATATACAATTTAAATTAGATAAAATTTTAATATAAATATCAAACATCAATTGAATCCACGATACGCAAATAATATAGGTCGAAAAAGGCAGTATTTCAATTTTGTAGTACTAGTTAGTATCAATGGTATTTCTATGCTTCAAAGTCTTAACTATTTTTTGTAGGTAAGGGACACGAAACAAAAAACTACTGCTCCATCCACCGATCTTATAATTTATTTTGCCTAACTTGTTCAAAAGTCAAAAGCCCTTAGTAACAAACAAAAAAAAATGATTTTAAAGAATTAAAGTTGAGCTACAATTTTCTATTTTCATTTTACCTCAAAATATTTTTTATTTTATTTAAAAAAAGTCATTATTTGATCATGAAAAATTTAAATAAATCTTGAAGCTATATTTAAAATTTGAAAAACATACAAATATTCGACAACCAAAGGATTTTATTTTTACAACTTCTAGATCACAACATCTTTTGCATATTGTTTTTGGGTAGATTATTCATACATATATATATAAATATATACTTCAAATTAAAGTTATTGAATTATGTCAACTTTGTTATTTCACTTATAGATCAACATAATAATTAATAGTTTTTACTTTCCAATCATGTTCTTAAAATAAAGTTATTATCGTGAAATTTAAATTACATGATATAATTTATGCTTAACATGATTAAACATGTGGAAATTAAATTTATTCCTTGTGAAACAATGAATTACAAAGTCAAAGCATCTTCTCCTCTCAAATCATTTGTTTGAGTACTTCGTTT